TGTTAGAACCATGAAACCTATTTCTACCATGGTGATTGTAGTTGGCATAAGCATGAGTGGGTCTAGTCCTACAACCCTCAATTTCTAGTCTTTCAATCTTTGATCTTAATTGCTTGTTCTCAAAATCGAGATCTCCAAGCAATTCATCTTTTAGAGCAAGAGAGGTTGTTAGTTGTTCTAGCTTAATATCACAAGAGGCATGCAATTTTTTGAAAGAAGAGTATTCTTTAGACATTCTTTTAAATTCAAAGTTCAACTCTTCTAAAGCCATAGCTATGTCACATTGCATATAAAAAGATTCACTTTCGGCCTCGGATATTACCTCATGTTCATTTGCCATGAAACAAACATTTGGGTCATGAAGAGCAAGTTTGGCTCCTTCTTCATCACTATCCGAGTCACTTGGTTCGGATTCTTCCCATCCGGCATACATAGCCTTCTTCTTCTTGTACTTCATGTACTTTTCTTTGAGCTTGGGGCAATCCTTAGCGATGTGACCCGGTTCATTGCACTCAAAACATTTACCTACACGAGAGGAAAACTTGTTGTTAGATCGAGGGTTAAATTTTTTGTTCATTTTTATAAGTCTAGAGATTCTTCTAGAGAGATGAGCCACTTCTCTAGAAAAATCAACTTCACTCTCCGACGACGAAGATGAGTTGTCACTAGCTCCCTTGAGAGCTATGGTCTTCAACTTTGGTGACGGCTCCTCAACTTCTCGTGATGGCACTTCCTCCTTCTCCTTCCCCTTGAGCTTCTTCTCATGCACTTTGAGCTTTCCGATGAGACTATCAAGAGCTAAGATAGTGAGGTCATGAGCTTCCTCAATGGCCGTAGCCTTGGGCTCCCATGCCGGAGTCAATGAGCGAAGTATCTTGTAGTTCATCTCTTGAATGGATAATTGCTTATCTAGACCATGTAATTCATTGATGATATTAGTAAAACGGGAAAACATAGCATCAATGGATTCATTAGGAAGCATTTTAAATAGCTCATAATCATGCATGAGTCCACTAATCTTAGATTCCTTAACTTGGGGTGTTCCTTCATGTGTGACACATAATTTTTGCCAAATTTCGTATGCGGTTGCACACGTGGAAACCCTATTGTATTCATTGGGGGAAAGACCACAGATTAAGGCGTTCATGGCCTTAGCATTGAGATTGGCAAGGTGCCTTTCATCATCGGACATGTTCTCAACTTTGGACTTCTCTACATATTTCTTTTCTATAAGCCCTAGGATGTCAAGATCAATGCAACGAAGGTAAATTCTCATCCTAGCCTTCCAATAAGCAAAATTGGTCCCTGTGAAGAGAGGTGGTCTAGTGGTGGATTGTCCTTCCAACATATGCATATTCAAAGAGGCCTCCATTAGATCTTTTCTCTAAGGTTGTTAAACCAAAAACTGATATAGAGACCAAGCTCTGATACCAATTGTTGGACCCTAGAGGGGGGGTGATTAGGGTCAAGAGGCTCTAATATGCAATATAAATTCAGCACAAGCAAAACACAAAACAAAAATGCGATAAAAGTAAGAGAGATAGGGTTAGGAGTTCGTTATCCTTGACGCGCGATGTGTTAACGAGGTTCGGCCCTCTGGCCTACGTCCCCGCTCCCCACTCTCGAGGAGAAATCCACTACACACCCGGTTTGGAAGCCGGAACTTCGTCTACACAGCGATCCCACACGATCTCTCTCACTACACAGTTTGATCTCAACAGATCACACCCTCACAGTAGATCTTACACAAGATCTCACCCTCACAGCAGAAGAAAAAAGTAAAAGACTCTCTCTTTACACAACCCCTATGACAAAGAGAAAGGTTACTGAAGCTGGGAAGTGAATCACACACAAAAACACAGAGAAAAACAGATTTGAAAATTTTCTCAGGAAAACAGAGCTCTCTGGTTTTTGCAAACGTTAGGGCTAGGGAAGAAGAAGCAGTCTGGGGGGTTTTTATAAAAGAGTTTAAACCAATTAAAAACAAAAACCCAATCTTCCTATTTAGGAAGATAATCTACTTTTCAGGTTGTTACCTCAGACTGTGCCAAACACTATTAAGTGAAAGCACAACAAACGAGGCAAAACGACCGTTTAAAAAAGTCGCGGTTGACTGAAGGAAATTTTGGTCGTCCGAAATAAACATTCGGTCGACCGAAAAACTTAGTCGGTCGACCGACCGAAAAATTCGGTCGACCGCGAGCAGCTAAGGAAATATGGTAAAATACG